CTCTAAAATTATTGAAAAAGTTGAAATTGGTCGAAATCGGTCATTTTTGGTCGAAAAATTTATAATTCTGATATTTTTTAAAAGTTGTAAAGTTTTCACGTTTAGGAATAGTAAAAAACCGTTTAGAAACACTACGACTATTTGTATTTAAGACCTAAGAGATTTAGGATGTAAGAAAAAAGTTTTTTGACTCTGTTTTTTGCTCAATCGGTCTAAAGGGGTGGAGAAGCCCAGAAAAAAAGGAGATCGAGCTCTACCTGTTGGAAAAATCGAACAGATCGGGGAAAAATGAAAAATACACAAAATGCAAGTAATTTCCCTGCGTAAATGTTGAAAACCACATCACCAAAAGGCGTTTCCGGTTTTTACTAAAATTCCTTCAGTACGCAATGCCGGGAAAAATGCTATAAAACTGCTAGTTTGTCTAAATCCTTTAAAATTTTCGCTATCCGCGTTGTACAGAGTTTTGAAAAGAGTTGAAAGAGTTGAAAAAAGAGTTTTGAGTTCAGTTTCCGGTTTTAAGAGTTAGTGGTCGAAATTCCCGGGTAAAATGCAAAAAAAAACAAATAGGTTTTCAATTTTACGGTCAAAAAGTGAAAATTCATGTGAAAATCTAAGATTAAAATTTTGGGAACGATATTTAAATGCCTGTAGAAACAGCAATTGATGGCTTTACACAAATCGAGCGTTAGAAATTACGGTTTTTAGGCTTGAAAACGTAAAAAAAATATGCATTTAAAGTCTTTAGATCAGGTAATTAAGGTCACTTATACCGTTAATTACATAATCTTAAAAAGGTTACTTAAAAAGCTAAAGGGCGATCACTTCCGGTGTCGAAACAACATCCGGTGATCGGTCAAGTCCATCATTTCTGGGTCCAAAGCCCCGACTTTCGAATTTCCGCTTCAAAATGAAAGGTAAGGTAGGGGCACCGGGAGGTCATCCCGCTATTCGACTAGTTCCATCCGGTGGGTTTTGGGTAGCAGAGCGGGTCCTTGGGCGATTGGCGACCCTTTTGCTGCGCATCGATTGGGGGAGCAAGGCTTGCACACACACACACAAGAACAGACAGACAGACAAACAGACACACACACCGAGGGCTCTGTATTATTCGTGCGTCGCGCCTTTGAGAGCCCCTCCCGAGCCAGTCATCGCTCTCATTTCCAGGTTGTGCCCTATACCCCCCACACCCCCTACGACCAACACCTCAATCCACTCCCCATCGCCCGGGCGGAATGATGCCGGGGGTGGTGAAGTTAGAAAATGACAACCGGTAACGTACGCTCTAGTCGACGCTCTGTATGTACGCGGCACGATCGCTAAACTCTACTAAACGATTGCCGAAAGGGAGGCCTGCAAATCGCGCTCAAAAAACGTCAAGGAAAAAAGAAAATGGTTCTTTGGCATTATCGGGGGCGGGGCAAACTTTTTCGTATTTATTTAAGACACAGAAAACCCAGAAAAACATTGGAAACAACGTGGCCAAGCGGTTCAAGTGAAAATTGACGTTAAAAGGGGGGCGTTTTTGCAGAATCAGATCAGCCGGCTCTTTCTTCTCTCGACCAAGTTTACTTTGCAAAGTAAAAATCAAAGCGAGACGGCAAAAAGGGCATAACCACAAAAAAGCAACATGTTCAAGCCGTTTGGGAGTAGTCTGTACTGGACTTTCGTGTAGGTTTCGTTGTGGTTCAAAGATCCGTTTTTCAAGCTCTAATATGAGGCTGGGTAAGCGTATTCTGAACGAAGCCGGCGTCTGGGCCCAGGGCTGGGCTTCAGTGAAAATAAGGCCAACTTTACGCTACGCTGAAGTAAGTCTACTTCCTTACGTCGAGCTGTAAGATTTTTCGCTCGAAAGGTGAAAAATGGTAATCGACTGCGAACGATACGCTCCTAATTACACTACGCTCCACACCAACGAACGTAGATAGGTGTAAAGTGTACTACCTGGACAGGATTCGTTTTTCCGCTTCTTCATAAATTCGTTTTGTAAATACCAAAAACTCGCTGTTTAGCAGGCACACGCCAAAACCGCGAAAGCCCTCTTCGTTCAGCCGAGCTACAGTAAGCCCGACATTCTCCCGGAATTGCTTGTGCCGCCTGGGGTCTCGTCTCTTTCAGGCTGCCTCTCTGGGCAGAGAGTGGCTGTGGGAGGGGATGGTCGAGGGGAAAAGGGGCGGGCGGGGCGGGCAGAGGGCCCGGGTTCGACTCCCCCGCCCATTTTTCGGGGCTGTTTCGAATTCAGGGGTGCAGGGCTTATCAGTATGTCCGTGTCAAGGTATCCGTTAATTAAGATAAACCTATAAAATCCAGGAAAGATATAAAAATTCCCGATTTTGAGATTGCACCCACCTTTCCGGGTTTTCGAGGGTCGTCCGTCCGGTTGATGATGCCTTAGGGGGTGTTCGAATTGGTGAGCTTGATGGGGGATGGGGGGTGAAGTTGAGGATGGAGGGCTGGGTGTGGGGCTGCGTTGCGGCGAGGCGATGCGGCCCTTTTCGTGTCTGTTTGAGTCGTGGTGTGTGTCTGTGTGTATGTGGGTGGCTGTTTCCTGGTGTCTCTCTTTCCCCTCTGCCCGGTCTCTCTGCCCCATCCATTCTCTTCCCCCTCTTTCCATTCCTTTCCTTTCGTCTCGCCCCCCTAATGTTGGTTGACTGCCGTTAAAAATCCGTCCCGCGTCATCTATAAGTCGGGGTGGGGGGTAGGGGAGGGGGGCGCGCCCCAACCAATTGTACTCGACCCCCCAGGGCACCCAGGCGATACGTATATCAAATTGACCGGCAGGGGAAGCCGGATGTGGATTTGGTCACCAAATCGGGCCATAGTTTCACCTCAACGTTTTACATGAGAAAACCGATCCTCCCACGATTTCGGCAACGCGTTCCCGGTCCTTTTTTGAAATCGCAACTTTACTTTACTTTCCAAAATTACGTGTATCAAATTGACCGGCAGGGGAAGCCGGATGTGGATTTGGACGCTAAATTGAGCCATCTCTAAATGGCAGCATCTTGCGCCAGAGAATCTATCCCCCAACGCGTTCGACAAAGCGATCTCGGCCTTTTTCTAGATTAAAAATTTACGTTTCTTTCCGAATTACGCCCTCGTTTTCTAGCATAGTTTTTCGCGCCAATGCCGAATACCTCTAGGCGGCGTTGGCACTGAGACAGTTTTCTACTCAAAAACACATTGTTTCCCCCGAAATACGTTTTCGGCAAGTCAAAACGATATTTAGTGATTTTTCAGAAATTTAAAGATAAAACTTACAAAGCTTTTTCACTGTCGCTTTAAAAAATTTAAAAAATACTTTTAGTGAATTGATTGATTTATCTTTCGATCTTGAAAAAAATAAAATAAAGAAAGATCTCTTTAAGACTTTCTCTGGAAACAGTTAGCCATATCAATTTCGATTTCTCGGAAAATCGTCATTTTTTTCAGTTCTCAATCCGTTTTCACCCACTACTCCCGATAATTTAGTTCCTGTATAGACATTTCGGATCGGCCTATCGATTTCCCCTTGAGGGACAGCTCGGGAGCGGACAGGGAAAAAGAAGAAGAAGCGGCAAGTGTGTTGTGGGTGGAATGCGGGAAATCGGGAGCCGAATCTTTTAGCGGAACCAGTCTTCACTTCCCGGGGGGCTACTCATGTCATCGCCAAGGGAAGAGGAGGGCTATACGTACTTCATTACTGTTCGCGTTAGTAGAATTTCCGGAAAAATGGAAGTTATGGGTGACGGGGCATCTAAAAAAATAGGACCATTTTTGAAAAAGGCCTATAGAGTCAACGAAGCCCTCTAAAGCCCCACCCCATCGACCACCGTAGTAGGATTATTTAGCGGGGTGGGCCCCGGTGAGGAGGGAATTAATACTCGTGTGAAGGAGTGTGACCATCGACATTGACCGGGTCCTCCTCAGCCGATGGATGGCCCCCACAAATAGGGGGCCTTTTTGGCACTTGGCCAAGGGCAGGAAATCGGGACTGAAATTACACGTGTCATATTTTTAGGTGCTTTTCGTTTAGCGGGGGGTAGCGTTCCGCACAATGAAATACAGACCATTTATATATTTTATTTAGGCCGTGTTTTAGCTACATAAAGCTTCTAAAATTATGAAATGTTGGATTTTTTATAAAGAATGATGAATAGGGTCAAAAACATCATATTTTCAATTTTTATAAGACACTACGTTTTTTGAGTACTCAAAAACCCTAACAACCATAAAAATAAACCATAGAAACTCTAGAATTTTTTTAGGTAGGAAAAGAGTGTCTGGTATGTTTTTCATGACTCAAAGCCCCTAAAAACCTAAAAATACACTAGAAAATGCTCAAAAAATCTGGGTGGGTATAGGCAGATAGCCCCCCCCCGTTAACGGCCCAGTATCAAGAATCCCGCCTGAAATTAACTTTTCCAGGTTTTGATGGCTGAAACTTTTACAGCAACGAGCTGCGGCCCGGGGATCCAATTAATGAAGGTTTTGCCCCATCGCAGAATTCTTCGAACAACCACCATTCATCCCCCCCCCCATCCCGGACCACGGAAAAACTACCCCCCTGTCCTATCGATTTGTCCACCCCTTCCATTGGCCGAAAAAATTCGCATAAGGAGACGGGGGCGACACGTGGAGGCGGCCATAATTGACGGCCTCTTCCGCTCTTTCTCTCTCTTCGGGTGGTTGTTGTGTGGCACACACCAGTTCGGATATCTCAGGGAGACAACACCGATTTTTAGTGGTCGGATAGGGCGAATGCGAAATGGCCTTTTAAAAAAAAGTCGAATTGGCTACGCCGGACGGTTATCTGGCGAAAAAAGCGGTACTGGACTGCTAACGGGGGGGGGGCGGAGCCGGAGCTATGCGCAACACGCCTCAAATACATAGTCGGCCAAGGCCAGACCCAAACAAAATCCCATTCCACCAACAATATCAACGCATTTTTATTCCCACACAAATTCATCACAACACACAATGAATGAAGACGAGTATTTTTTGATAAGTATCTTCTGTTAATCGGAGTCGAAAAGCGCTGGCCGTCTCAGCGGCCGGAAGGGGCAGCCGAGTAGCGCTCCAGGGTCCTGAAAAGGAAAAGCTTAAAAGGTGAATGAAAGAAATACTAACCTGCGGACCCTCAAGTGAGAGGGCAGGTTGCGCAGCCCGTCTTCCAGCAGTTGCTTCATCCGAGGCGACAGCGAGGCGCGAGAACCTGAAAATCCTACTATATATAAAAAAATAGTGTTTGTGTGTGTGTGTGTGTGCATTTGCATGCAACTTCCGTCACCGTGTTCCAGTAGTATCTCAAAAAGGGAGCAAGTTAGGGGGATGTTTGATACGTCATTAGGTGTGCAAAGGCCTCGAGATGACTGCACACATATTAGAGTTTACAAAATATGCTGTTTTCGACATTAAAATTAAGTTTTTCATGGAAAATCGGACACCCCACTTTGTTAGGATCAAATTAGCATGCACCGGAAGTCGCGGTATCCTATATAAAGGGACGGCGAGAAGCATTTTCATTTTTCGTCATCCGAATTCGCGAACATTATGTAAAGCCAAGAATATGGACGCAGACGGGTCCAGGGTTGAAAAGTCGCGAAGCGGCTTTTCAACCCTGGTAAATATTTACTAAAA